TCGCCGTCGTCGGCTCTACTTCATCATTGAAACAGCAGTGACAGAATAGAGAAACATCTGCCTTCTAGCACGGTCAATGACAGAAAGGTGAACGAAGAAGAGCTAATACCGATTTAACGGCAATTTTATATTGATGATGAGTAGTTTTTTTGGGAAGGATCTACAATATTATATTGTTACTTATAATATTAACATATAATATGATATTATCATTTGTTCATGTGTCACATATTTTGAATATACAAGATCGCCAATACAGGGTTCTCTTATTTAAAATACAAAATAACCAGCTGGCATAAAATCTACTTATTATAGAGATTTTTAAGTAACGGTTATACGCAGGGTCCCCATTATAATCAACCAATTAGAATAAAAAGCCTCAGCTTCCAAGATCATGCTAGGTATTGCTAAATTACCCCTAGTGACTATAAAAAGTAATTTTTCTCCGTCTAAACCAGTTTTTTCGGTAATTTTAAAATACACAAAATTTACAACACTCTACTCAAGATTTCACTCACCGGGACTTAGTTGTTTTTAAAAACAATTTATACGTTACCTTTTCGTAACATTTATTGTTACCATTAATATTATTACCATTATCTATTTAATACATTATTTCATATTTTATTTTATTTTATATATACCAGTTGATTATTTGACTAATTGATATTATGTTATGTTGTGTTATTTTTAGTTTATATGCAATGAAATATATACATTTAATTACTTGTAAAATGACCTGTAACCCCGACTCGTTAAAAAAAAAGTCGTTTTTTCAATTTTTTTTTAATATTTTTTTTTTTAACTGAATAACACTTAGAAGTTTTAAAGGGAATTTTTTTTTCATGAATCTTTTGATTTAAGTTCATTTGTTTATTAAATAATAATAATGTTATATATTTCTTATTGTAGAAATAAATATCAAATAATATTTTAAACATTAAATCTTTTTTTAATTATTATATTTTAATAATAAATCCAACCCAACTTTAAATTTTTATTTAATAGTAAAAATTTATTGTGAGCTTTTATTATTGGGTAGCTAATCTTAATGTCTTTGTTCTAACGAATATCGTACCGGTGGACAGAGCTAAACGTTACAATTTTCTCAATCAATACTGAAACTTAAATTAATATACTAATAAATTTATTATCAAGTGTATTGCAACTCTATACTTATTGGGTAGCTAGTCACTGAGCTTAATGTTTTTGTTATAATGAACGTCGCGCCGGCGGACAAAGCAAAAGTTGCAACTATCTAATTGCTGCATGCTTGTAATTAAATCTTTTTCACAGATATTAATATTTTTTAATCTTTTTTTGGCTAGGCCAGAGGAAGATTTAAGAAATATTGGTGTCGATCTCTCAATAAAATATACTCTCTAAAAGAAAATATTTATGCAACAAACTTAAAAAAATTAAATAAGGACAAATTATAATTTATACTTCTAATAATGTTTGTGACAAGTGGATTTTATTAAAATAGCTCTCTACCTAACAAATACATGATTAATTTACAATCTGACTATTACTTATTGTTAGGGCATAACATGGCTGTACAGAGCACTATCATAGTAATATCACAATCAAAGTTTTAATTAACCATACGGTTTCCAATATACCTTTGTACTTTGCTTCTAGTAATTACTTGATTAGTATAGTTAGTATTGACACGGTCCGCGTCGCTTCGTTATACATGATGCCCCGCGACTCGTGCCACCTTTATTAGCCGTCCCCTACTATGAGTATTTGACTGACCAACACCGCGTGTCATACGCCGCGGTGCAAAGTCCAGCAAGAGCCGCACGGTCGACGACAACCCGTCGCAAATGAGACGGGAGTCTTCTTCCCATTGTAAAAGTGACAACGTCGATGAACCTATCCGCACTCACACACCTTTGTCATCAACACTGCTAACCTTTTGACGCCCGAGGATCATGCCGGACATCGCGTCGCCGACGACAGCAAAAGTGCCGCAATATAATGCAAAGATTATAATTATTGTGTTCATCTTTTCAGTTTGGTTTATTTTTTTATTAAAATAACCTGTTGTGCTCATTAATAAACAGCCCATGGGTCTTTACCCTCAAAAACATTCATTTTGTTATTACTTGATACTATTAAGAGTTATTATAAGAACAAAGAAAAATTATCAGGTAAGATTTCGAATCAATAAGAGTCAATACTTATACTTATATTATATTATAACTCAGTTATTTAGAATTAATAATCTGAGTACAGAACGATAAAGCAATAGATCAAAACATTAAATTAATCTTTAAATTTCAATTAATTATTACTAACTAATTCGTACCTTATACATAATCACATTACATGGTAATCATGAAATGACCACCGCATCTTCGTTGCCTCAGTGTATTATTACAGATACTTACTAGTTGGGTCATTTATAATATCTCTATAAGGGGAACTTTAATTATTATTTTTTATATCTACTTCTCTTTATTAATCTAAACCCTCGGACTCTAAAACCCCGACAGATCCTCGTTGCTCACCAATTGACCAAATCCCCAAATATACATAAACTTGGTCAATATACACAATACACATATACACCTATTGATATCTTTATTTTTGTATTATTACAACATTTTCATGTTTTATAAACAATATATAAACAACTATTTTGTTTCTATAGATAATCACAATTATTTATTTATATTTGATAAATGTACATGGAAATTACCTGCATTCACTTACATATTTTTAAATTTTCGACTAATAATATCATATTGTATTATATTAATTTTTTCTAGTTAATTTGTAATTTATTTAAAGTTGGGAAAAATGCATTCGGTCAAAGTCATATACAATATTGTTATTTAAAAAATTAATAAAAAGCGCTGAAAAGAGCAATATAACAAAAAAAAATTAACACAAGAAATAAAATAAAAGAACAAACTTTTTTAAGTAGGCCATTTCAAAAATATGATCATACAATTATATCTACAGACACAAAAGTTCCCAATCACACAAATCCAGTAACTAATAAAAACGAAGAACTCGAAAAGAAGAAGTTTAAAGGTGAGTCAAGTATACACTTAGTTTAATTGACTAGTGATAAAAATATCAGCAGCCCCATTCCTCAAAGCCAGTTAAAACTTTGAACTGTTAATAATTTCTGAAATATTGATCCAAAATATGTAAATCACTAGTCATTTTTTTAATTAGATTGTTAATTATTAAGCTAGGTATTATATATGTACCCAAAAAAAATATTAAGTTGACACCACTATAAGTTGTAATAGATGATTGTAAAAAGTAATTAATAGCTGATAAATAATGAAAATAAATAAAATGAAAATGAAATAAAGATAATTGAAAAATCAAAATTGATTTATAAATATGAAATAAAATAAATAATAATAATAAATTATAAATGTGACGCCAAAACAAAAATAATTCTATACTACAGCAGAATCATTTTTTTTTTTTTTTGAGAGAGAATACTAAATATTTTTTTATATATATATATATACAGGGTGGCCCACCACTCACTAACAATTTAAATAACTTTTGATCCAGTTAATATTTTTAGCTGATTTTTTTTTTAAACATTAGTTAGACGTTAGGTCTATAGCTATATCTCAATAATTAATTTTTTTACATTTTATTAAAAATATTAATTATTTTTAAATTTTAAATAAAATGTAAAAAAAAAATCTAAGATAGCTATTTTGTAGAGTAGAATTTAAGAAAAATTTTAGTAAAAAAATATCTTATTAATATTCAGTAGTAAATATTCTGTAGCGTTTTGAAGTTTGTGAAAATTTGAATTTTCATGTACTATTTTACGGTATTAAACATTGAAATACGTATTGAGAAAAGGACAGAAGAAAACGCTATCTTTTCATGATTACTGTGTATACATATGATGATAGTGTGTATACATTACAAACTTGGCATAAATACCATGATAAGAAATTAGATAAGGCAATTATTACTTATCACTCTCATTCAAAAGTATATTGAAAAGATAGCGTTTTCTTCTGTCCTTTTCTCAATACGTATTTCAATGTTTAATACCGTAAAATAGTACATGAAAATTCAAATTTTCACAAACTTCAAAACGCTACAGAATATTTACTACTGAATATTAATAAGATATTTTTTTACTAAAATTTTTCTTAAATTCTACTCTACAAAATAGCTATCTTAGATTTTTTTTTTACATTTTATTTAAAATTTAAAAATAATTAATATTTTTAATAAAATGTAAAAAAATTAATTATTGAGATATAGCTATAGACCTAACGTCTAACTAATGTTTAAAAAAAAAATCAGCTAAAAATATTAACTGGATCAAAAGTTATTTAAGTTGTCAGTAAGTGGTGGGCCACCCTGTATATAATAAGATTTATATTGTTTATACTCAACTTACCAACAGTTATAGGTCGAAAGGGACAAATATAAATGAATAGGGTAATAATAAACTCATTTTTCTTTTTAAATATATAGTAGTTATGCATCTTATTTTAAAATTATAAATAGTATTATGTTTTAAAGAATTTCGAACAAAATTGCTTTTTTTGAAAAGAAAGCAACAGCAATTAAGAATTCTAACAATACAGCGATCGAAAATTAAAGGGAAAATCTATGGGGTAGAGTTAATAAACTAAACCAAAATAAAGAAACATTTCTTTTCCTTTACATTTTCAGTAGTTAAGTTTAAAAAGTTAATATTTTGTAAAAATGTTGTAATTATATTAATATAATAAGGGATGAACCAAAAATTATTTGAAACTTAAACTAAAAAAAATTTCCAATATGACTTATTTTGTATGCATATATGTGGATTGTGATAGACGAATTGCCTCTAAAAAAAACTACAGAATACATTATTTAGTTATATTGAGGCCGTATAAAATATTACTATGATTTATAACGTTGCTGATCATACTAAGTATAGTAAAATGAATAAAAATTATATTCCTCTAGAGAAATAAACAAAAAATAGATAATAGATACAAAACACCAAATACTTATAATATTAGATAGTTTATTAATTAATTAAATAATTAAAACACGTTAACTTAATTATTAAAAATTATATTGCTCAGTAAAATGATACAGTATAAATGGTATATTTATAAAATATTCTGGAAACAATATATAAAGGATGACTTTTTTATCATAACCCATTCAATTCCTAACATAATAAATGTAATTTAAACATTTTTTTTGGTTATCTTTAGTTACCCATTATTTTTAAATTATTAATTATTTAAAACTTTCTAAGTTCATCCTTATACTTTATAAGGTTGTCAACTTTATTTTTTTAAATGTGGAACATATATTTTGAATTTAATAAAATATTTCAGTTTTTAATTTAATAGTAAATGTTATTTGAAATTTTAATATAACTTTATTAGGTTATAAGATATAAAAATTTAAATGATCAAACTTTTGAGATAATATACATATATAATACACAAAGAATTTCAAATATAGGTAGCTAATTGGATTTTTATTATTGGCATTTCTTATCAATGATAGTAAGGTACATTGTTGTGAGTTTATAAATACACTAACTGGTAATACAGATACTATTTATAAACTATTAATAGTAAACATTGTCAATAAACACTCCATGTCTGTGACAGAAAAAAACCAATTACCTTCATGTATTTGTAAACCTTGTGTATTATACATGAATATCAACTCAAAAATTTGATAATTTAAGAGTTTATATCTAATAAGCGAAAAAAATTATATGAAAAATTCAAATATCATTTATTATTAAATTGAAAAATCAAACATTTTATTAAATTTAAAACATGTTTTCCCATTTAAAAATACAAAGTTGACACCCACACAAGGCTTGAGGATAAACTTAAAAAGTATTACAACGTAAATAATTCAAGGAAAATATGTAACTAAAGATAACCAAAAATAAAAATGTTTAAATTATATTTATTCTTTAAGTGATTGAGTTATGATAAGAAAATCACTCTGTATATTGATTTAAACAATTGTTAATTCAAAGATTAATATATAAGTTGAGATTTTAGTGAATTAGACATAAACTAAAGAAGTCTGCTATCTAATTCTTTGTTTTTACAGTGTGAAAGTTTTTCAAAACCTAGATCTTCATAACAAGATTTGCTAACACTTTCGCAAAAACTTTCAAAAAAATTGCAAGCATTAAGCATAATTTGGATTGAAAACTCAGGATTTGAATTAATTGATAAATTCCCTTGATTTCTAAAATAGTTTGTATAATACTTAACATTTTTGAATGTATCTTCTATATGACACCAAAAATTACATTGACTCAATTCGCTTGTTAACTGAGTAATAAAAAATGCAAGATTGTTTTTAAAATTGACTAGAAGTTTTTCAATCACTTCCATTTCATTATCATCAATATTATTTAGAGAAAAATCATTATTCTCCAACAAACTGAGAAATTCTGCAATCCATTCAAAAACTTTATGTAGACTTGATTTTGAGTTATAATTTACACTCCATATTGATGATTTATTTAAAGTAACTAAAGCTTCATGTAAATCTTCAAGCATTTTTTTTGATTTAACGAATGAGCTAAATAATTTAGTCAAACAATTATGGTAATAGTTGATTGCATTTTTATTACACATATTTAACATAGCAGATAATAATGTACGATAGTTTTTCATTATTTCTGTAAATCTACATCTTAATAACTGTGATACATGTTCTTTTTTTATTCGAAAATTTATCATACTAACTTCATCATTTATTATTTGATCTACACAGAATTGTTTACCAAAATAAACTATACTTATGTGGTTCATTTTTTCCCAACCAGATTCTTTACGAATAATGTTGAGAGCTTCAATTCCATCATTTTGAATTGTATCTGGATCTATTGGAGGTATGAATCTAAATTAAAAAATATATATTGATTATTAATAAATACATGAAAATAAATATATTTAAATAGTGATGATGAAACATTATTTTAATATAAAATTAAGTAGTTAAATATGATTGAAATATAAAATCTGTATTAAATATATTATTTATTTGTTAATTTATTAGGAAATAAATAAAAAAATAAAGTTCGGCAAAGATTTTTTAAATTATATTAATATGTCAATTAAAAAAAATATTAATATTTTAAAAGTATTTCTTTCATCAATTTCTACGAGCATTTTTATACTTTTGCATAAATCACATAGGTAATTTAACATCTAACATTTACTGCGCATAAAAAAAATTCTTATATATATGAGACCAAAATTAAAAATTTAAATAATAGCACATTGAGGTTGCGGCAAAGTATGAATGTGGCAAAGTTGCTAAAATTACACATAATATCTGACAGTGATTAAAATCTTAAAAAACGCTTCGATACAAATCTGTTGATAGTGTTTAATTTTGAGAAATTCCTAAGTTATTTCAAAAGCAACATCAATTTCTATTTCCTTAATTAAATCTCATTAGTAGTTCTTTAATATTATAAAAGTACAATATATTATGTATTTATTTAAATAAATGCCATTTATAGTAATTAAATATAGTATGAAATTTATGTTCAATAATTTAATATTGTAATTTATACGGAGAAATTATAAAAAATTTAATGCAGTATATTTCGTTATTCTAAGACAAATTTGTATAAAAATTAATAGAGCTGAATACAATATGCTGTAAAAAAATATTGTTACTTATGAATAAACACACTGGTGTACAAAGTACTTTCATCAGAAACAAGAATATGATTTTCTATATCATATTTTCGCATTGTTTTCAAATCAATAATTAAACTTTTTCTATCACTTCAAATTTTTGATATAATTACTAATTAGTAAAAAATGAATAATTAAATAAAAAAAAAATGAAGTTTACAAATTGATACTAATTTTTATTTTAATATGTTAAAAATAATAAATGCAAAATATAATTTTCAACCTATTTTTTATGGTCCTCAAAGTTGATTTTGGAAAGCGTTGAAATTGTGGCCATAAAATTTAGTTCAAAATGCAAGTTTGAATTTAACTTTAATGAATCGAAAATTTTATGATAAATAAAAAAAAAACCCAGCACAGGGGGGTCGCGGCACAGTGGTGACGTTGTTATATCTATATCTCAGTTCATCTCATTTAATATTAGACATGAAAAACAAATAAATTATCCAAACCATAAAATATGATTGAATATATTTCTTTGAAAAAATAAAACATTTAACTTTATTAAGTTATTTGTTTGTTCAGTTTTGGCATTTGGCGACTGTACCATATAATGGTAAGGGGAGTTATAGGTCATCCGTGCTTTATCTTCTTTTAAAAAACCTTGAAGATAGCAATGTATCTCTTATTGTGAGAAGGGGGACGGTAATGTTTTCAAAAGGGATAAAGAATATCTTCGATGTGTACGGGGGTTGTTTTTGAAATTGTAGGTTTACAATTTATAAAATAAAATTTTGATTTAATGTTAGTTCAAATTATAAATTTAGTTTTCCTGAATTAAAAGAAGCAAAAAATTAAGCTGAGAATAATTGGTAATAAGTAAAAAAAAAATACACATCATAGTAAAATTAATACCTTCTCAGCATCCTATTGAATTTAGAAAGTAATTCAATAAATACAATGCTTCTAATATTGTTTCAAAATCACGACACGTAAATAAGCTAAATCTAATCTAATAGAATCTAATCTAAAACTAAATCCTCGAGCATTTTGGAAGTTTGTGCGTAAACATCATTCTTCCAAAAATATTCCTTGTAATTTAGTCTATGACGGCTCCAATAGCACACGCCCTATAGAAACGTCAAATCTCTTCTCCAGATACTTTTCTTCTGTTTATACACCAGTTTCGATCACTCCCTCCACTAATCCTTCTCACTTACAGTTTCCTCTTCCTTCAATCGTCCATGTGTCCGTAATTGAGTTACACAAATCATTTACCATTCTCCATAACATCAAATCTCTCGGACCTGACGGCATTCAGGGCGATTATTTATTTAGATTACGGGACGTAATTACCTGGCCCCTCTCTCTTATCTTCAATAAATCCCTGAGTTCTGGGATGTTTCCTTCTTCTTTAAAACTTGGCTCTATAACTCCTATTCTCAAATCTGGCGATCCAACTCATGTTCTTAACTATCGTCCTATTACCATTCTTCCTCATATCTCCAAATTATTCGAAACTGTTGTCCTAAATACTATTCGACCTTCCTTGAATCATATACTTATACCTGAACAACATGGCTTCCGTCCAAACCGCTCTACTCTAACATGCAACCTCACCTTTACCTCATATATTTTTGAATCCTTCCGCTTTCATAGCCAAGTTGATGTGATCTACACTGATTTCTCTAAGGCGTTTGATCGTGTTAATCATTCCCTACTAATAAATATTTTAGATCAACAAGGTATTGGTGAACCTCTACTCTCCTGGTTTCGTTCCTATTTACTGGATCGACCCCAGTTTGTGTCTGTCCACGGTGTTTTTTCTGAACTTTTTTATCCTTCCTCAGGTGTCCCCCAAGGTGCTGTTCTCTCTCCTCTCCTCTTTGCCTTGTTTGTGAACTCTTCTACTTCTGTTCTTCACCATGCTAAACTCCTTATTTTTGCTGATGATATGAAGCTTTATTATCGTATAAATTCAATGTCCGATTGTATTATCCTCCAATCAGACCTTCAACGTTTAGTGTTTTGGGGCGAGTCCCTTGGCCTTTCCCTCAACATCCAAAAATGCTCCTCAATGACTTTTTCGCGCCAAAGTAATCCTCTTGTTTTTCCTTATTCTATACATGGTATTCCCCTAAATTCTGCTGGTGACTCTATACGTGACTTGGGTTTTACCCTTACTCGTACACTGTGTCCTATAAAACACATTCAAGAAATATGTTGTAAGGCACTAAAAATGCTGGGTTTTATTTTCCGCATAGCCCAAGAATTTCACTTGATCTCCCCCCTAAAAGCCTTGTATTGTGCACTAGTTCGCCCTATTCTTGAATATGGATGTGTCTTATGGGACCCACCTACTTCTGGTGCCAGCGAAATGTTGGAACGTGTACAACGGAAGTTCCTGCGCTTTGCTGCTTTTAAGCTCAATATCCAATATCCTCCTCACTCCTATGCTCCTATACTCCATTCCCTTAACCTTTCCAGTCTCGCCGATCGTAGGCATGTCTTAAATCGCAAATTCTTACTAGATCTCCTTTCAAACAATATTGATTCTCCTGATTTACTATCCCTTATAAATCTTAAAGTTCCTCCTCGCTTGACGCGTTCCAATATCCCCTTCCAAATTCCATTTTCCTCCTCAAATTACTTTCTAAACTCCCCGATAATCCGCTTGATGAAAATCGCTAATACCGACCCTTCCTTTGTTTTACCTTAGCCCAAGTTTCAGTCCCCTTATTTAATAATGTATATTCAATTCCATTTTATTTTATTGTTATTTCTAATTATTTTATTTTTATTTTTTATTTTTTTTCATGTTAAATTAAAATTCATCTTTGTATCAAATATTATGTACATATATTTTGTAATTTTGTTATATTGCAATTTGTCAGTTGTTTTAGTTTAATAAATTATTATATCATAAGCTTTTAAAATATCTTTGTTAAATTGTAAAATATTGGGCTCGTCCCGTTTTATGAATAAATGAATAAATGAATGAATAAATGAATAAGGTCGTTGTACAGTCCAGTTAAAATCTACTCATTTATTTTCGATAAACCAATGTATTATAAACCATCTGTGCAATGCCGGCTATATTTTACTTTAGTATCGGCATATTAAGATTTTGTAACCTTTTAGTTTGACTAATAACTAATATGACTACGCCTTCGTAGAAGGAAGGAAAATATATAAAATTTTAAAATTGAGACTTACAATTGACACAATATAATATAATATATTACATTATATCACAATATAATCGATAAAAAGGAAAAAAAAAGACAAGGCACATATGAACATAACAATATGATATTTTCCATTACGAAAAATATAACATACAAAAACAATAGCAAATGATAAATGAAATTAAAACAAATTACTAATATATAAATAACAAAATATCCCCTTTGTATTCTAATTAATACATATATAATATATGGACTGTTTATCCTTTAAAACAAACAACAAAAAGAATTCTTAATATTTACCCACTGACGGGTTGCTGGAAAATCGATGGATGTTTTAGTGACATACATAATACGATAGACCCATACTAATCACATCCACTGGTGTGCCGGACAGATATGCATTAACGAACGTGTGTACACTCTTCTCGCGTATCACACTGGCATCAAATAAAAAAAACCAATAATAACAGGTGGCTACTTCCCGNAACCAATAATAACAGGCGGCTACTTCCCGTCGGTCAAACCAATAGGAGACTGTAATGGTAGACGGAAGGCCGTATAATACACCGTTAAAGTTTATTCCGTGGTGAATCGCTAACTAGATAATTGGGGCGACAACGAAAATTTTGGTCAAAGAAAATAAATGACTTCAATGCGTCAAAAACGGCCGAACAAACGAGCACGAATGAATTAAGAAAGGAAAACCCTTCAATATCATACGTTGAAGGGACCGGTTAAAACAACAGTGTTGCCTTACCGATACGAAGGTGGGGGTTTAGAGGAAAAAACACATTGAAGATTGCGGCGTGTTATGAATACGGAATATCCGGTCCACTAGGTGGTTGCAGAATAAAAAAACCCAGCACAGTGGAGTCGCGGTATAGTGGGGACCTTGCATAGTTGGGTCCAGTATAGATTTAATCTGACAGTGATTAAAATCACTATCATAAGAAACGCTTCGATGCAAATCAGTAGATAGTGTTTAATTCTAAGAAATTGGTGGATAATTACAAAAGCTGCATGATCTGCTAGTTCCTTATTAATACCCTGATTAAGATAA